CGAGCCTTTTTCTCCTGTCGGCGAGTCTGTTCCTACTGTCGGCAAGCCTGTTCCTCCTGCTGCTCTTTCAACCAACGGGCCTGCTCCTCCTGTCGGCGAGCCTGCTCCTGCAGAATCACCATCAGAGCACCTAAGTCAGGTGCTGCAGATGTAGGACCTACTGACGGGCCTGCAGCCGGCGGCTGGCCCTCCGACGTCTGCGGCGTTGCACCACTAAATCTTCTTTGGTCCGTCTCCTGCTGGCGTTGACTTCGGGTACGGACACCCTCCGTTTCCTCTTTAGGTAAAATTGGCATGATTTTATCCCACTTCTGCCACCAATTGTTACGAGCTTGAGGTTCATGACAATAAAAACTGCCGATTGAATTACCAAAATTTACACTTTTATTACTGAAAACCAATTAAAAAACTAATTAATTTATGCACTAGTAGATATGATATTTTGCATGCTATGTGGTAATTTTTTAATTAGCTTATATCTGTACATCTATAAATATAATAAAAATGTAAATTGCAATTGATGTCTGTACATTTTATATTGTTACGAGCTTGAGGTTCGTGACAATAAAAACTGCCGATTGAATTACCAAAATTTACACTTTTACTACCGAACACCAATTAAAACTTAAAAGACACTAATAGTTAATCACACTGAATCACTTTATTTCGCTCCGAAGCTTTGCTTGTCTCGCCAAATTCAATACTGCCTCGATCGCGGCTATCAACGGCTTTATATAGGGCTCTTCCATGAAAACGTCCAGAGTATTCCAGTAAATAAGGGGCCCCGAGTGTGGGGCTTCTAGAAAGCTTAGTTCATCAATTCGATACTAGATGGCGCTGTTGGTTGAAAGATTAGTCATGGTATTTTCTGGAAAGCTCTCCTCGCTCTGTTACCCGACACTAGATGGCGCTAGTGCCAGGTACCAGCCGTCAACTTAGGCGCACAACAATACCTTTGCTGGAACCCGATAAGTGGCACTGCAGTCACGTTATTAACGCATTCTATGTTTAAACACCAAAATGACTCATATTCACAATATATGCTGGTTAAGTGCCAAAAAAGAAAAAATTGTACTAGTTTAGCTAGTCATTAAATCTGTTCAAACAATGTAAATTATAAATAGAAAACTTATACAAATTAACAACAATGCAGATCAATGGATCGACAAGTGACACTCTGACTTGTGGTGAGATAGCCCAAAAGGCCATGAATCTAGCAGTAGCACTGACTCGCCTCGGTCTAAGGAAAGGAGAAGTGGTGGCCCTCTGCTCAGAGAATAGACGAGAGTTTTGGCCAACTCTCATTGGAATTGCTTGTACTAGTGCCGCCCTTACAGCTTTTAACCCAGGGTATACTAAAGGTAATGGAAAATAAGTGTTTGTTATTAGCAACTTTAATAAATGTATGTAGTCACAATTAGTAAGCTGATATTATGGCAATGTACCGGCCATATACCTAGCCTAGAACTGGTAAGCGAAGTGTAGTGCAGCACACCACTAGAAGGAATGACAAAATAGAAAGAGATGCAGGAAGTCGATGGATGTAATGTGCTTTGTAGCATTTTTTTATTGTATAAAGGTGGCAAACGAGCACTCAGTCCACCTGATGATAAGTAATTGCTGTGGCCCATAGACATCTATATATATCCTCGATAACGAATCAAAATGCAGATGCGTTGTCACCCCTGAAAACCTGAACCTGTGAGGACTAAGATGGAGTGCCTTGTTTCTAGTAAATTGGGTTTCCTGTTCTCTGCACTCACCAAACGAAACACAACAGCGTTAAGCTGCTATTTGACGCTGGTATTCTGTGAGAACGTGATCCTTCCCTGGTTGAGCCGACCCATTCGTGCTACAACTGTACCAGTAATGTAGCTACAGCTTGGTTCTACTACGTTAAGAAAGCAATTTGAAGCATTCCTTTGGGGACCCTTTTTACTGGAAACGAGGCATTCCATCTTAGTTCTCAGGAGTTATAACGCATCCGCACTTTCATATCGAGGTAATGTCATATACATACCAGGCGGTCCCATAATGAACTGGCCTGATATAGTTCAACGCGACATGCCGCTACATGTTGTGTTGCATTAAATAGTACGTTTATCGTGCACTTAATATAAAAAACATGCATCAACATGAAATGCTTAGTCTTAGTTTAACAGGCATTTGAATAACGAGAGTCGCGTATTTTTTCTAAATGTCGAAAACTGAGTATCGAAGTGTCATAAAGTTTCTGTTTTAAGAAGGTTTATCCCCTGCCCAAATAAAAGAACGATTGGATGGCGTGTATAAGGAGTCTGCCCCTCCTATAGTACAGTGAAAAATTGGGTGAAAGAGTTTCGCCTCGGGAGAGAAACCGTCGAAGACTTTGGCCACGACGGTCGACCTGTGGAAGTGCTCACTCCCGAAACGATTGCTCTTATCGAAGAGGAGGTTCTGAGTGACCGCCGTTTGAAGATTAGAGAAATTGCAGCAAGGCTTGGGCTCTTTAAGAGTACCGTTCATCGCGCGATCCATGAACATCTTCACATGAAAAAAATGAGTGCAAGATGGGTACCGAAACTTCTTTCAGCGGTACAGAGACAGGAAAGAGTGCGCTGCGCTTCGGAGTTTTTGGATCTTTGTGGCGAAAATCCAAACACTGTGATCGAGCGGCTAGTGACTGGTGATGAAACTTTGATCTTGTATTATGATCCACAAAGCAAGCTCGAGTCAATGGAATGGCGTTATAAGGGTGAAAAGCCCCCTAGAAAGGAAAAGGTGCAACAATCGACTAAAAAACTGATGTGCACAATATTTTGGGATTTTCAAGGCATTTTGATGGTGGATTTTAAAGAACGTAATACAGTCGTGAACGGCGAATATTATGCTTCTTTAATATATAAATTACGAGTCAAGATAAAGGAAAAACGAAGAGGCATGCTGTCTATAGGTGTCCTGTTGCTCCATGACAACGCCCCTGTTCATACCGCTGGTGTTTCGAAGGATGCAGTTCGTCAATGCGGGTTCACAGAAGTTCAACATCCACCTTACAGTCCAAACATGGCCCCGTCCGACTATTATTTATTTCCAAATTTAAAGCGAGACTTAAGAGGAAGAAAATTTTCAAGCGATGAAGAGTTGCAGGCGGCCGTCTTCAGTCATTTTGAGGATAAAAAATGTGATTATTTTTATAAAGGTTTAGAGATGTTGATTCACAGATGTCAGAAGTGTGTTAGTATTCATGGTGATTATATTGAAAAATAAAATTGGTTTCGTTTCATTTCCTTCATTGGTTCATAGTTAGGCCAATTCATTATGGGACCGCCTACGTACATCTATGGGCCACAGCGTCCACTTTATCAGGTAGACTGCGTGCTCGTTTGTCATCTTTATTCTATGAAATAAAAAGTAAGCCGTGCTTCACGTACTTTGATATAACTCAGCATTTTGGTTAACCTCCGACTTTTTGACGACGAATTATGTTAATTATAAATATAATGATAATAATACACCTCAAATAATGCTAAGGAAAATTTAAAATGATCTTTATATTTTTATGATTGATTAAAATTGAATAAATAAACTGACATAAAGTAATAATGGTGTTACCTATAGTTTTATTTTTCTGTAACGAACGCGAGGAACGCACTGATAAGGCATGGTTAGGGCAAATACGAGGTAAATACGATAAGATTATTTGTATCAAAATTATATCTTTACTCATTATTTTCATCATTATCAACCAAACCACACCATCAAGATGCTCGGCGGTCCACAACTCTGCGTTTTACTGATGGTTTTCTTCCTCACACAACTTTTTTGTGGAATTGTTTACCACCGGTGATTTTTCCGGACCGATGCGTCTCACCTTTAAAAAAGAGCTTACTCCTTTCTAAAAGGCCGGCAACGCACCTGCAATTCTTGCGTTGCAGTTGTTCATGGGCGACGACAGCCACTTATCATCAGGTGAGCTGCACGCTGGCTTGCACCCTATAACATAGAAAAAAAAACAATTCGCTATACAATTTTTTAAACGTTATACGTTGAAGCAGCGCAATAAACATCCCTGTTGAAAAGCACCACAAAAATGATTTGAGGCCTGTGCCAAGTATTTTTATTAAAATACTTAAGTGGTTCTTTGTTGTACGTATGGCTACTGCAGCCCGTGAACAGCTGCAACCAACTTCAAACAAAGAAATCTGCAGATGTGTTATCACCTCTGAGTATTGAGATGGAATTCCTCACATCCTGTAATTATAATAGCCTTACCCTTCAGCTTAGAATACGACAGTGCACGAGAATATAGTTGTAACTACGCAGACATTTTTTTAATGTGCGAGCAGCTATGCAGGCCTAGGGAAAGAGACCAGTATCACTGCGACCTAAAAGATCTATTGTGATAGCTGCTATGGCTATAGTTCACTGCTAAGCCCTATGTCTTCAATGAGAAGGAGTTGCTTAGCGGTAAGCAATTTCACTTCTTCTGGGCGGAGTACATAGTTTCCCAGATGAGTGTTAGGTTTGCGCATTAAGGGTCCGCAATCGGTTAGGATATGAAGATTTCACGTTATGGAACAGAACCGACACATCCTTGAGTTGCTTAGTCCCAGGATGGACATGTGCTTTTTAAGATAACAGTGTCCAGTTAGGTCTCTTGCCAGAATGCGCAATTATTTTAATTATTAATAATAAACAGATATACTTCCAGGCAGAAAAGACTCCTACCGCCTAATAGGATATGAGCAGATTATTACTTTTATAAGTATCCGGAATCAAAAGCCTCCTTTTTTATTTTCTATTTAGGATTACAACCTATCAAAAATCCACTGCTGAAAATAACGGTGGTTTGGCAACTATAGTATTTTTAATTTTTTATCAGCAAGCAAGCAATTTATCAGCAAGGTTCCTCTACCCATCTCCTGATTCAGTTTCACTCTGTCGCCTCTCACGACACCAACGGGATTTTTTGGGGTAACGGATAGTTTTGTATCACCACTAAATGGTTATTTTCTTTTCAGATGAACTTAAACACGTGATGGGTATATCGAAACCGAAATTTGTGTTCTGTTCTCCTCAAGCATACAGCGTCCATGAAAATCACTTAAAATTATTTCTCGAAGTAAAAAACGTAATTTTATTTGGCGAGAGAAAACAAAATGATGTATTGTTATATAATGACTTAACAACAACAAAGAGTGTAACCTTGGAAGAATTCAAAGCAGTTGACGTAAAGGGTGAAACGGATACCCTTTTTATCTTATATTCATCAGGGACATCCGGCTTTCCGAAAGGCGTTATGCAGACTCATTTGAATGTCTTGGCTGCGTGTAATCTGTAAGATTTTTTTTTAATATTTAACAGTCACTATACTCGTACCGGTAGGCGAAGTGTAGGGCGACCCTCCACTAGATGGAGTAACGACTTGGTAAGACATGCAGGAAGTCGATGGATGCAGGTGAATCAGGACCGTGCTTTGTGGCATACCTTGGGGGAGGCCTATGTTCAGCAGTGGACATGTGAAGGGCTGTAATGATGACTTTTTGGTTTGATGACTCTTTGGTTGCATTGTATGCTGTAAAATATTGATCTGAAATTCATCACGAGGACGTCGTAAAAGAACGACTCCGTGTCCATTTGTTGGATAACAAATCCGATTTCTAATCGGATACAGGAAGTTTCTGTTGACACTAGTTAGCAATGCGAATATTATTTAATAGTAGTAATCGTTGCCGGTGAGAATCGCTCTGCACAATTGCGGATAAAACAAACATAACGCAATCGTTATGTTTGTTTTATTATTTGTTTCTCGAAATAAAAATCCAAGCTTAGACCACTCCTGGCACTCCTTTTTCTTCATTACTATCGGATTTGTCGGAACAAACAATCAGGCAAAAAAAATTAAAAATGTTTACTCATGTTTTAAATAGCATACAAATAATCTCTGCAGCTCAAAAAAGGCTGACTTCAGAAATACTTATGTGTATAGATGTATGGATGATAACACTTTGTGATCTAAAAATATTAATTATACCTTATCGTCATATAATAGTTTAAAAATATAAAAAATATCCATAATTATCCATTGATACAGCATTTACACAATGCAACGGAACCACACGTTGACCGGAAATATATCCATAGTACTAGTGACGGTAAGCAGCGTCTAAAGTGGAAGAACTTTAGTACTGTAATCTTCGTAAAGGGTGATATGTAGCAATACATCAGAGATGGCCAACCAGTGGAGCGCAGCTATTAGTCCAGTTGATCGTGGCAATGCAAAAATATATCAGTTTAATATACCTTATACTATTTATATGTAAAAATACGTCGAATAGACTGTGCAACGTAATCACCAATTGCTGCGTACATCATCTTGTATCTTTATTTATCTTTTTGTTGTTTTTGTAGTTTGTATTTTTTTTTTGTTGTTCATGGGTGGCGGTAGTCAGTTAACATCAGGTGAACTGTATGCTCGTTTGACCCACCTCTTATTTAAAAAAAAAATCTTGTATCTTTTTTCAATCGGCTTTCATCACTTTATTTATCCTCTCTTAAACACTTAAGTTACAGCATATATATATATATATATATATATATATATATATATATATATATATATATATACGTAGTTATATTAGTAGTATAGTTGTAGCACGAATGGATCGGCTCGACCGGGGTAGGACTACGCCCTCACAATACCAATGTAAAATAGTAGCTTAATGCTGCTGTGTTTCCTATGGTGAGTGTAGAGAACCAGAGACCCTTTTAACTGGAAACGAGGCTTCTATCTTAGTTCTCACAGGTGACAACGCATCTGCATTTTGATTTTTAATCGAGGATAGATATAGATGTCTATGGGCCACAGCAACCATTTACCATCAGGTGGACTGGGTGCACATTTGTCACCCCATCCAACAACCACCCTGGCCCAATGCGTGTTGGCGACCTTAACATGTCTTCGAAATATTTTTTTTCTAAGACGTACAGGTTTCCTCACGATGTTTTCCTTCACCGCCAAGCCTATAATAAATCAGCACTTAAAATTGAAATTTACAATTTCATTGGTGCCGGAGGAGATCTAACCCACGGTTCTCGTGCACTGTGAAATTTACAGCGAGCGATAACCATCTGAGCCACCACAGCTCATTGGATTATTTTTTAAGGTTGGCAATTTTCAACTACAAACCTGACTTTACTAATGTGACGGAAGATGCTCAGATTTCAATTATATATTGTCCTCCTTAGTAAAATAAATTTTTACTTTAATTTTTAAATAATTAAAAATTAATTTATAATTTCAACAAGTATTTAATTGACGAAATCCTGTGCGATCTGCACAGGGTTTCATCAGCAAACATCTGCGATCTTGCGTCTAATCAAGTTTGCCACCGATTTACACCACCCAAATTTACCATACCTAACCAACTAGTGATTATGAGAGCGGAATTACAAAGATAAAGCCACCTTATTCCGAGGGCTTCTAAAATTTGCACCATATTCCGAGATATACACATATGAAATGCGTTTACGAGCGATTTAGAAGTTCTTTTTTACTGCAAGATCACTTATTTAATTTATACTTTTCTACTACTTTTCGTTGTCATATCATCAAAGTAATGTGTATACGTTTTAAAATAACTGGTTAGTTTCGTGTTATCAGCTGGTCTGAACCCACGCTTCATACCTTTTGAACGTTACCATCTTTTATTAAATACTGATTATTTTAGTTATTTTGTACCATGTGTAATTATTTATTATAAGTTAAACTATTTTAAGAATTCTATCTGTATTTTTATTAGAAAACATTTAACGTTTGTATGTTTTTCTGAATAAATTAAGATGAAAATACGTTTGGAAATACCGCGGCATTAAGTGCCAAATATTTTAAACGACTCCTTATTCCAATATAAACCGCGAAATAGCAATTTCAGATAACTGATTTATTTTTTATAATATTTCAGGGTTGTTTTTATAATAAGACCCTTCCCGCTTTGGATTCGACAACTTAAATAACAGTGAATATTAAAATCTATTTCTGAGGTATTGTTTGGCGATTCTTTTACTAATTATACCATGTCAAAGGTAATTAGGTATTTTGGTATTTTGATAATTCAACGTACCGGAAAGCTAAGAAGGAAATTTTAAATTCAAACAAAATTCGATGTAATTTTAGCATGTTATTATATTAGATATATGAAACGCTTTTTCGATGTATTGTTTTTTTTTGCGCCCGAAGCAAATATGGGCAACCCTCCGGAAAGCGGGGGAGGGAGGCGGTGAATGCTCATAGCATACCACGCAGCCGGCTGCGTGGTTATGTGGAGACTTTAACCTACTAAACACCGCCTTTATGGATTGGCTTACCGATCTGACGAGAGATCTCTAAGCCGTATACGAACGCGACCCTCCTTGGCAGAAAGGAAGGCGCAAGCGGCGAAAAGCCGCTTAGAAGTGTACCTAACTAAGGCAGACTAAGGGATGTGTTATGTAGGCTCGGCCTGAGCCGCCAGGGGTACCAGTTCAGGTCAGCCGAAAGCTTGTTGGGGGCGTCCGAGAGAGAGTTTCTCGGTCTGCTCACACTATAGCGAGTGTGGATAGGGGCTGCATAGGCAGCTGTCTCACGAATGAGATGATTTGGGTGGGACTCTGAGGCTTTGAAAAATCTCTCAGAGAGTGATTTAAGGAACTGCTGGATTGTTGGGAGCTCTAAGTCTCGGTGTAGATCGGCATTACGGACATAATAAGGCGAGTTAGTGGCCCTACGACAGAATAGATTTTGAACTATTTGAAGTTCATTTATAACTTTGGGTTTAGCGTGTGCGAAAATGGTGGCCGCGTAGGTCATAACAGGTCGTTTATAGACCTTATATAGGGTTTGCTTGTTGCGGAGAGACATTTTACTGTATCTGCCCAACATGCTGTAGAGCCTACCCATATAAAATCGCAAGGTGTGAGTTACCTTCTTGATATGGGGCTCGAAAGTGAGCATTGCATCAAGGGTGACGCCTAAGTATTTGGCTTTTGTTTGCCATGGGACAGGGGTTCCTAACATCCTGATTGGCGGAGTGGCAGTAAGATGGCGTTGTTTATATTCGAAGCAAACGGCGGAGCTCTTCTCCGGGTTTACGTCGATACGCCATTTTTGGAACCAAGCACCTAAGTCGTTAACTGACTTTTGGATCTTGTTTCGAATCCGTGGCAGTGAGTTGCCTTTAGAGTTAAGGGCTGTGTCATCTGCGAAGAGGGCTAGTTTAAAACACCATTCGACGGGATAGGGATGTCGTTGGTGAATAGTATATATAGGAGGGGGGCAAACACAGAGCCTTGAGGGACACCGGCTCTGATTTGACGAGTAGAGGATAGCGTGTCTTTGTGTCTAAAACGAAAGGTACGATTCTTCAAATAGGAGGCTACAAGGTGGACGAGGCGGTCAGGGAGGCCTAAGTCGTACAATTTGTAGATAAGGCCCTCATGCCAGACTCTGTCGAATGCCTTGGCAATGTCGAAAAAGACCGCGATGATCTTTTGACGACGAGGATAAAACCCGCTGAGGATATATTCCACTATGCGGTGAACTTGCTGGGGGCACCAGTGTTTGGCTCGAAACCCAAATTGTTGAGGGATGACAAGAGGGTCGCCGTCTGTGGGAAACAAATGGCGCCTCATGCGCACGAGAATAACTCGTTCGAAAAGTTTGCCAATGGCCTTGAGGAGGCTGATGGGACGATGATTGGAGGAGAGGTGCTGAGGTTTGCCTGGCTTGGGAATGCCAATGACAGTTGCTTCTTTCCAATAGGTGGGAAAGTAGTTGATCGCAGGGAGATGGCGTACCTCTCCGGAAAATGTTTGAAGGCTTGGTTAGAGATGCCATCCGCACCCGGTGCTTTTTTGGGCTTAAGTCCTTTGATGGTAGATGAAATCTCATCTTTGGACACAGTGATAGAGTCAGAGGCGGTGGGGGACGAGTTCCGGCGACGGACCTCGTCCTCCACTAGTTGGATATGTAGGGGGTTAGTGGGTTGTGAGCTGGGAGAGCATTGAGCGGCGACGATGTCGGCGAAGCACTCAGCCTTTTCTTCGTCCTCGAAGGCAATAGAGCCGTCGGGACGAGACAGAGGGGGAGTGTGCGTGATAGCGTCTATCCGGAGGGCTCTCGCCATCTGGTAGTACGCTGTGTGAGAGAGGGGATTTTCTCCATGAGATTGCCCCTTTCGAGGTCTCTGAAGTCTTTGAGGCGGTAACGGAGTTTGCGTTGAAGGCGGTGGGCTGTGAGTCTATACTCGGGAGTAGGATAGCGTGCAGCTTTACAGAGGGCGGCTTTGAGTAGGTTGCTA